TGATCAATAAGCTGCCATGGCATATCCAGTTGTTGGACTTAAAAACATTTGAGCCAGTGTTAACCTCTTTCATCAAGAGCCGGGCCTATTACGATATCTCAGAGTATTTAAGGGATGATTTAAGAAACCTGGACTTCCGGTCAACATGGCGGTCACGCAGCAGCGGTTTACGTGTGGTGTGTGTTCTAATAGTGTATCTGAAGAGGACTTCGCTCTTGAGTGTGAAGGATTTTGCTCTTCGTGGTTCCACCATAAATGTGTCAAGATAAGTAAGAAGGATTACGACCAGATTAGCCGACTCGGGGAGAAAATTCGATGGTTCTGTGGTCCCTGTGATGCCCGTATGCAAACCGTCATTTCAAGTGATTGTGACTTAAAGAATTTATTAGTAACAGGCTTCAATGAACTTAAAGAGGCTGTGAATTCTGTGTGTAAGGTTCAAGAAAACACCAAAAAGAAGCTAAGTAATATCGTTACACATCATGTCAAACTTAGTACAAATATTAACCTTATTGCCAAACAATGTGGTTTAAAAGCGGAAGCAACGTCACGAGCAGACGATGCAGACGACACTTCGCCTTCAAACGTCATGGAGAAGAAAAACGAAAATAATCTCCCACTCCCAGTCAGTGATGACAACTGCACGGCCTCATTTTCTGACAACGACCTCCAGTCGTCTGCTACCATCGCCAACGACGTTAGTATGGCAGTGATGGAACCATATAGCCCTGCCCCATCATCTGATCTGACGATGACGACCAACTTCAGTTTAGCGCATGTTGGCGTTGGCACTCCTGTCTGTTCGAGAGTGGAAGTGGAAGACACTTGTAAAAACAAAAATACTGCAAACTGCGATGTATTTAGCGCTGGTGAGGTTAGGAAACCTGAGATGAATGGTGATTTAACGTATGCGAGTGCACTTAAAAATCCTCAGAAGCCCAAATTGGGTCGTGATATCCCTGGTGTGATTGGTACCAACGTCAAGACAACTCTAAAATCAGTTGGAAAACAGGAGTGGCTATTTATCTCTAGACTCCAACCATCTACAACGACTATGGATGTTTCCAACTTCCTCACAAGTGAAGGTATCCAAAATGTTGAATGTACAGAACTGAAGAGTAAGTACAATTCTTACAAATCCTTTAAAGTAGGTGTGTGTAAAAACGATTTTGACAGGGTTCTAACCTCAGAGTTTTGGCCAACAAACATATTTGTAAGGAAATTTTTACCAGCCAGACCTAGCAGACACCATAGGCCTAGGCCTGCACAAATTGAGTCCCGGATTTTTTTAGGGAAACAGAAGCATCCACTAGCCTCAGTGGGGTAGTCATACCAAATGATCCAAGCTCCCTAATTATTGGTCACTTGAATGTCCAATGTTTGAGAACCAAATTTGACAGTGTTGAAATCTTTGCTGATGACGAAAACTTGGATATTCTCTGTGTGTCTGAGCATTGGCTGGTACATGATGAGGTTATGTACTACCATAGTATTAGTAACATGACAATGGCCACAAGTTTCTGTAGGAGTACTGCAAAAAACGGTGGTGTTGCACTTTATATAAATAAAGAACTGACTTTCACTACGATTAATTTGGAAAATTTCTGTGAAGAAAAAGTCTGTGAAGTAGCTGCCATCCGAGTTGCGGACTTCGACCTTGTGGTCGCATCTGTTTATAGGTCTCCTATCAATGCTCTATTTGATAGCTTTTGCGAGATCTTTGAGAAATGTATTATTTATTTGTCTTCTTTGTCTTGTAATCTTGTTGTGTGTGGTGATTTTAATGTTGACATATTGTCCAGCTCCAGTGAGGAGAAAACTTTCAAGCTTCTGACAAGACAGTGTGGCTTATTTATTACCAACGAAATCCCAACCAGAGGGAACTCATGCCTCGACATCATCCTTACATCGCTTCCGCAGGAGAGGTACAGTTCAAAAGTTCTTGTCCCACACATCTCCGATCATGATGCCGTGGTATTAAATGTCAACACTTCATCGGTGAGTACACCCACTGTTTTCCCCTGGCATGCAAATTATGTTTTCTCGCATAGACGAAATCTCTCAAAACCTGAGGCTCTGCTTAGCTTTAAGGGTCGTCTCAGGGCAGTAAGATGGGATTGCATTTTTGACTTACAAAACCCTGATGCATGGTTCGATGTGTTTTTTGATACCTTACAGGATCTCTTTGACGAATGCTTCCCTGCCTCAAGCAAAAAAGGTAGACCTACAGGTAAACTCAAGGATACAAATTCATCTAAGACAAGACACAAAGTGAGAGACTGGTACTCACCTAACCTAACCGACTTGAAAAACCTGATGATGGCCCTTCGAGACAGAGGGGATGTTCATAATTACCTGGCCCTGAAAAGATTTTATAATAAAAAAGTTGAGGAAGCCAAACGGTTGGCCAATGTCCGTTTCATTGAAAGCTCGCAAAACCGATGCAAAGCAGCCTGGAGTGTGGTAAATAGTGTGAAACCCCAAAAGCCTAAAATGTCCTGCATGGCGAGTCCAGATGATTTCAACACCTTCTTTGTCTCGTCTGTTGAAGAAATTTGTACAACATCCCAGATAGCCCCCAAGACCCGTTGGCTTATGTCGGAAGGCGTGTGGAAGAGCTCCACTGTTCCCTTGACAGATGGAATCCCATCTCAGAAAAGCAGATACGGACTCTAATCTCTGGACTCAAAAGTTCCAGAGCATGTGACTGTTTTGGCTGGTCATCCCAATTACTGAAGGATGTAGCTGATGACATCTCTGCCCCCCTGACTACAGTTATCAACAGGTGCTTGTTGACAGGTGTTTTTCCGGACAAGCTAAAGAGAGCCAAGACCATTCCAATATACAAAAAAGGTGATCATGCCAGTATCTCGAGTTACAGACCTATCTCGATACTACCTGTGATTAGTAAGGTGATAGAGACGGTGATGAAGAATCAGTTGTATACATACTTTGAAACACACCAGCTGTTTTCAGACTCACAGCACGGTTTCCGCGCAGGGAGATCTACTTCGTCTGCGATTGCCAGGATTGCAAGAGAGGTTGGCGAGGCCTTTGAAGCTGGGGAGTCGGTAATGCTAACACTCTGTGACCTCAGCAGAGCCTTTGACTGTGTATCCCATGATATCCTGCTCAAAAAACTCAGCAGATATGGCGTTGGTAGTGTGGTTCTCTCCACCTTCAAGAACTACCTAGCCAACAGAACCCAGAGGGTAATACTCGTTGGCGCAAGCTCTCTAGAACTGGAGGTGAACCAGGGGGTTCCCCAAGGATCTGTGCTGGGCCCTCTTCTATTCCTGGTCCTCATCAACGACATCGACGAGACCAGCAGCTCTATACTATTTGCGGATGATACCACGCTTCTCACTAAAGGGCCAAACCTACACCACACTAGGGATTTAGCCATAATCCAGGTCCAAGAAGCAAAAGCATGGTTCCAGATGAATAAGCTGCAACTGAATGGAGACAAAACCCAGAGACTCCTTTGTACCCTCTCAAGAGACTCCTCGGACGACATGGCTGCAGTAAAACTTCTCGGTTTCCAGCTGGACAGCCGACTCGACTGGAATGACCATGCTGCCCATGTTGCCACACGGCTTGCGAGAGTCAACTGTCTCCTCAGGCGCCTCCGGAAATGTGTCACGGAGCAGTACCTGCTCATGGTATACCATGCCCTGTTTCATTCGCACATTGCGTATGGACTACACCTTTGGGGTCATGCGTCGGAAGTGGAGGAAGTCTTAAAGCTTCAAAAAGCGGCAGTCCGTATAATCTCAAGGAGCCCTTTTAGAGAACACTGCAAACCGATATTCAAGAGACTTGGAATTCTAACCGTCTGCAGCCACTACATCTACGCCTGCCTGGTTGAAATCAAATGCAGTGTTCCTCTTCTCAACACCAGAAGCCACATCCACGCCCATAATATCAGAGCTAGGCAGGATCTTGATGTTCCCCGTGCGAGATTGAGCAGGACGCTCAATTCCTTCCCTACGTCAGCCATCAAGTTCTTCAACAGACTCCCTTCCAGCATTCGATGTCTGGACGACCGGAAGTTCAAGAGTGCTGTGAAAGACTTGATGATCAATAGACCATACTACAAAGTAGAGGAATTCTTTAAGGACAATTTGGAGCGGGACAATTAATTTTTTGTACCGCCTACTGCCTGCCCGCCATGTTAAATAAGTTTTATTTTATATGTGCGTGTAGTCTTTGTTTTTGTGTCTTTTTTTTCGTATTAAACAACGACGCAGTCTATTCCCTCATCAGAGGGTCAACGACGAAGGCTAATGAATAATGAATAATGAATAACCTGTATGTAGCCTGCCGAAAGTATGTAGATAGTTGTCAATATTGTTTTTTTTATTAGTAACTGTGTTAAGTGATGCTGTCAATCCCACATTGTGGGTAAAAGACGAAGAAGAAAAAAGTCTAAATATGGTAGATTGCGATTAGCTGATAAACGGATCCAGATTTTAGAGTAAGAGGTTAGATCGAAGATCACAAGAACTCTGGATTGTGATTGATTCAAAATGACGTCATCTGAATTTCGTGCGTTCGTATGCTTTCATTTCCAAACGAGTCACTAGTCCCAACTCACTTCTCAACAGTTGGATTTCAAAAATACCAAATCATGTTGTTGATTGAGTTGATTGTTGACTATTGATTCAACTGTCAATATTTCAAAAATAGGGCCCCTGGAGTTAAAGGCGGCCGTGCCTTGCGCCTTGCAATGGCCGCCATTAAAAGGTGGCCGTAGCCTTGCACACGCGGCCACCTTTTACAAGTGCTTGTCGTAGTGCACTGAAGCGGGAAATAAGAGTTAGATTGGATTGGACTCGATTAGAGTTGGGGGATGATAAAAAAAAAAAGATTGAGTACAAAACAAATATGAATGTAACGAAAACGAATAGAATAGAAAAACAGACTGGACTGACTGAAATGTCATGTCATTGTCATTGTCATTGTCATTCACATTCATTCTATTTGTTTTGTTGTATGTATACAGACCACTGAGCTAGAATTATAGCTCAGTGATACAGACGTGTTTTGTTTTGGTGTTAACATCAATTTGACCTTTAGTTTATTTAATTAGTAAAAAACGTTTTAATGTTTCGTATTTGAAATAGCTTGGTTGGCTGTATTAGCCATTTATAATGTTTCAGGTAAAGGTAGGATTACCTCATATGTTTATGACTGAAAGTGAATGTGTTTAGCTTAACTTATCTATCTGTTCACTAGCCTAGACTAAAACAATTTTCTTAACTCTGTCTGAGTGTGATTATGGAAATCGTACTTGTGTTGCTGACTGGACTTAATCCAACAACTTAAATGATCACTCCTCTGTGACTCCAATGAGTTCATTTTTCAGCCTATAGGTTGATTTATAAGTTCCAGCAAGTCACATTTCAGTCATAGCCTATCAGTCACGTCACAGTTAAAAAATGATTATTGAATGTGTCTTCTTTTGTGCTATCTAAACTCATCTGGCGCAGTTCCGATGCAGATGGGCAGATGAGCCCTTTTTCGTCTAAAAATGCGGTGCGATTTCGTGACCATCGTTAATCGTTCGTTACTCTATCGAATCACGACATCATCTATTTTTTCTATACTATCGATGCGATTGTAGTTGTCATTTCGTTTGTCACAGAACCTGTCAGAGGCTTATTGTGATATGGACGAAATGAGAGCATTAACTTATATTATAAAATTAAACTGTCATAACCTAACTTAACCTTACTAAGTTAACCAAACTGGCTGATAATGAAAAAAAAAACGAATTAAGGAACTGTCATAACCTAACCTAATTAACCGAACTTGCTGATAATATAAAATATATATAGGCCTAAGATAAATATCTAAATCTAAAATATAGTTCTGTTCATTAAATACAATTATACATGTCTGAAATTCTAACAAAAGATGTAGGCCTTGTTATGAAAAGAAATGTTTAGAAACCAAATTTATATGGTTTTATTCAACTTAATAGTCAGCTACATTTTACATGAGAGAATTGCACAAAACTGTAAACATTACATACATAAACAAAACAGTCTTAAATAAAACATCTGAAGAAATATTTGACAGTACAATAGGAATCATATTACATAACATTCACCCCATCTTTTTTTAAATGTAATCCCTAATTAGATAGGTGGGAGGTCTTCGGACTCTAGTGGAACGTTGCAGGTTTGTTTCTTCGTTATCCCTCACAGAAGTAGGGGTCACGGTCTCATGCAGAGGGGATGTTTCGATTTCAGATTGAATAGAGTTCCCAATTTCAGGTTGAAGCAGGTTTGATTCACGTCTCAGGTCTTGAAGAACAGGATCTATAGTTCTTGACTGGGATTTTCCGAAGTCACTCGCTCATCCTCTTGTTGGATAGCTTCAGGGGGAACAGCGAGATGTCGCACCGATACCAGAGCCTCTATCTACCATCTCTATACTTGATGCGAGCATAGTCTGGATTAGCCTCTATCAGCTGAGCTTGTTCCACTAAAGGTTCATATTTGTTATTTCTTACATGCCTTCTCACTAATACTGGTCCTGGATTCATGAACCATTGAGGTTGAGAGGTGCCATAAAATGATCGTCTCTGGTGTTTGAAAAGACGTTTATGTGGGGTCTCATTCGTAGCTGTACATAGTAACGAGCGTATACAATGCAAAGCTTCTGGCAAAACATACTCCCACTGTTCTGTCTTCAGTCCCTTGTTTCTCAGAACAAGAGATACAGTCTTCCAAATTGTTCCATTATATCGCTCAGCTTGAGAATTACCTCGAGGGTTATAAGGTGAAGATCGGCTAGTGGCGATTCCTTTAGAGTGTAAGAAATCACTCAGTTCTTTTGACATGAAAGCAGAACCTTGGTCAGAGTGGACAAAAGCAGGCATACCAAAGATGGTGAAGATTGATTTAAGTGCTTTGATGACAGAAGATGCTGATGTGTCTGAGCAAGGAATAGCAAACAGATATCTTGAAAACTCATCAACAACCGTCAGTATATATTTATTCCTTGTCACAGATGGTATTGGCCCCTTAAAATCAATGTTAAGTCTCTCAAAAGGAGCCGTTGCACGGATGAGTGTTGATGGGGTTTTTTGGTAGAACCGAGGTTTCACTTCCGCACAAACAGAGCATGAAGCAGTCATTCGCCTGACATCTTCGATAGAGTAAGGGAGATTTTTACTTTTTAAGAAATGAACCATCCGTACTATTCCAGGATGTCCAATGTCACAATGAATTCTACGGAGTTTTTCGAAATCTCTACAAGAGATGGAAGATGAAACTCGTGAAAATGCATCTGCTACTACGTTTTCTTTGCCAGAACGGTAAACTATGTCGTAAGAGAAAGGTGCTAGTTCCAATCGCCACTTTAAAATCTTGTTGTTCTTAACCTTTCCCGCGTGTTTCTGATTGAACATATATGACACAGATTTCTGGTCTGTAATTAATTTAAACCGTCTTCCAATCAGGAAATGCCTCCATTTCTGTATTGAATCGAATATTGCGAGGGCCTCTTTTTCCACAGCAGGTAGATGTTGTTCACTCTTAGTTAGGGTTCTTGAAAAGAAACATATTGGCCTTCCAGCTTGTGAAAGGGTAGCCGCTATAGCTGATTCAGATGCATCTGTTTCTACAGTAAATGGAATATTTTCTTCAACTGCAGACATACTGGAGTTCGCTATTTCTTCTTTTAATGTCTTAAAAGCCAATATTTCTTTACTGCCTACTGGGAATGATTTGACTGTAGTAAGGCAATGAACCTTCTCAGAGAATTTAGGAATCCACTTTGCGTAGTAGGACAACATGCCAAGAGCTCTTTTAAGGCTTGCATTATCAGTTGGAACGGGGAAATTCAAGAGTGATTGCAAGCGATCATGATTAGGACGCATGGACATGTTTTCTACAATGTATCCCAGAACTGGAATGCTGGTCAACGAAAACTTAGATTTTTCTTTGTTCAGGGTAACATTATACTTTTTAGTTGCTTCCATGAATCTCTGTAGGTTTTGATCGTGTTCTGCTTGGCTACGACCACAAATAGTTACATCGTCCAGATAAGCAAACGTGTCTAGTAGATTTTCAGTTTCTATAATCTGGTCAATAGTTCTTTGAAAACACGCCACACCATTAGTTACGCCGAAAGGAATTCGAGTGTATTGGTAAAGTCTCCCATTAGCTTCAAATGCAGTGAATGGTTTATCTTCATTCCGAATAGGTATTTGGTGATATGCCTCCTTCAGATCGATTGTACTGAACACTTTATATTGAGCAAGCTTAGAGACAAATGATTCAATGTGAGGTAGAGGGTAGGCATCAAGCTGTGTGAATTTGTTGATGGTTTGAGAGTAGTCAATACACAGACGTCTCTTGTGCCCATTGTTGACCACAATCACTTGGGCTCTCCAAGGTGATTTACTCGGTTCAATTATTCCTTCTGATATAAGCCTACTTACTTCACTTTTTATGAACTTACTATCATCTTCAGAGTAGCGGCGGGACTTGATGGCTACAGGCTTGACGTCATTAGTTAGATTATCAAACAGTGGTGGTGGTAGTGATACTTTAGCCCTAAGTAGATTGCAAACGTTGAAGGGTGGGCGTTTACCACCAAAATTCAGCTCCACAGCAGAATGTTGCCGAAGGATGTCAAGGTCCAATTACAACATCGGCACATAAATCAGTTAAGACGAGCAGCTTTGTCTGTGGGTATTCGTGGCCATTGCACACCATGTCAACAATACAGTGGCCAAGAGTTGATGAAACATGGCTTGTTGATGCCATCGATATTTCATGCTTTGTTGGGTATTTAGAAATATTGAATCTTTTCACAGTAGCTTCAGATATAAAACTGTCGGAACTCCCAGTATCAATGAGTGCATCTACTGGTTTGCCATTTAACATCAGTGACACTGTAGCTGAAAGACATTTTTGTGAGGCAGCAACAAGAGAGGAAGACATTGAGATTATTTCTGTCTTATCACTTGGAGTTGTTTTACCCTTAAATGTCCTACTTTGGTTGCGAGAATTGCAAACTGTTGCCCAATGGCCTTTCTTGTCACAAATATTACAAACTGAGTCTTTGGCAGGACAGTTGGCTCGAGAGTGTCTTAACCGTCCAAAAAAGAAACATTTTTCTCTTCTTATCGAGGATAATGTGTGTGAAGACGAATCAGAAGCTGCCTGAGAAACATTTGTATCAGTAACATCAACATTTTTAGGAGTTGACTGAGATATAGAGTTACAAGGGCTTGAAATATATGAAATCGCCTGATTTTCAGCTGATTCCAAGGTAATGGCTTGATTATAAGCTTCTTCAAGAGTCAAAGTTAGATTTTCAAGAAGTCTTTGTCGAATGGACTGTGATATTAATCCTCGAATGAAAGCGTCTCTTATGTACTCGTTACGATTTTCATTAGCAGTGACAGATTTAAAGTTGCATGCTTTACTAAGTTCTTTGAGTTTTCGAAGATACTGATCAATATTTTCTCCAGGTTCCTGTCTTGTTGCCAGTTGATGACGTGAATATACCTCATTAGTAGGCTTTATAAAAAGTTTGTCAAGAATAGATATAGCTTCAGTATAAGAATCAGCCTCTGAGATTATTTCATATATGTTGTAGTCCACAAAATTAGTTAGTGTATCATCTTCTGCAGCACATATTTCTTCCATGAATTCTTGAAAGTGCTTTTCCAATGTTTCCACTGACAATCAGAATGGGGATCATTAGGTTCCAAAGATAGGGTTTGTCCGGCTTGAAGAATTCATCCATTTAGATTTCTTGGAATAAACTTGAATGGAAAAGATAGAATACAACTTGTATAGAAGAACTTGTAATAATATAGTTAAAAGATTAAGTTGAATAAATTGTTATGAAAAGAAATGTTTAGAATCCAAATTTATATGGTTTTATTCAACTCAATAGTCAGCTACATTTTACATGAGAGAATTGCACAAAACTATAAACATTACATACATAAACAAAACAGTCTTAAATAAAACAGCTGAAGAAATATTTGGCAGTACAATAGGAATCATATTACATAACAGGCCTACAGTTAAGAAGTAATCACATTCTAAGCAAAATCTTAGACAAAAAGTTAGAGCCACCGGTAGGATTCGAACCAGTACCTCTTAGTTATCAGCATGGCTCTATCCACTACACCACG